TAATATGAATTCTAGCATTTGTCAAATAGAGCTGTCAGCTGTGTACCAACCTGACTTCTGCACAACACAACTGATGGTCCCAACCCCATTAGGAAGGCAAGAAACTCAACAAATGAACCCTGACAAGCCACAGCTGTGAAGTGAAAACCATTTCAGGGGACTGCATCATGAAGCTCATTGAGAGAAGACCAAGGGTTTGCAGCCATAGACCCGATATGTGTCATCCTTACATTAAGACCAGATGAGGCTTCGGCAAACAATATCTGGTTCATCCAGGTCAGCTGCATCTCAGGTCCTGTGTTATTGGATTGTTTCCTATTTCTGGAGGACATGACTTTCAGTTATTGTTCATCTTTAGGCCTGCCATTTCTTCTTTTATCATTGACTTGTTCAGATTCCTCAGTCTCTTAAGGACACATTGCACACAATGCTGAGATAATTTTTGGCCAGCAGCCCTTTGAGAATCACCTTGTTGGTGATTGTTTGCCTTCTCTCTTTTCTCTGTGTCATTGTAGGGTCTTTACCTTACAGTTTAAAGCACTTTGAGGCAACTGTTCACAATTGAATTGAATTGTCAGATTGTGTTATCTTTGTTATAGACCACTTTAAAAGAAAAAAGAAAAGAAAATGAGAGCTTCCTCAAGCCTCGCGTCGTACTGTAAATAAATTGTCATGTTCCATGTCATTAAATCGATCTGTATCATATGCTCTCATTTCCCCTTTCCAGCTTTTTTAGGATTTGCCATTAAGCTGTCAGGTATAATGATGATTTGGGAAGTCTATAAACATATCACAGCTTATTCCTGCCACTGAAAAGAAAGAATTAAGCAGACATTATTTTCTCAGATGTTTGTTAGTAAGTTTTGATATAAATATTTTCTTCAGAGTGACAACAGTTGAAATTACTTTGATTTCTAGTGCTCTTCTATATTCTCTTCTGATAAACTCTTTCATAAGTTACTGAAGTAACCTAAAGTGTAGCTGTATTAACCTTCCACTTGTCTGTGTCGAACCTTTGAGCTTTGTCAGTGATTAAAAGCTTCACCGCTTGACGCGAACACCTCTTCCTGCTTTCTGTCCCTCCAGCTGTGAGGAACCTTGTCCTCCAGGTAAACATGGCCCCCTGTGTGAGCATCACTGTCCCTGTCAGAACGGTGGAACATGTCACCATGTCACTGGGGAGTGTTCCTGTCCTGCTGGCTGGATGGTGAGGACTTCATGACACATGCAAAAGCAGATAAGCATCATACAACTAATCTGCCGAAAAGAATATTTAAGGATTAGCAACAGTTAAGCGCCATGATACTGTATTATAAAATATACCTTCTTAAAAAACTTTTTTCATGCCACA